CATGAGGTACAGGACAGTGCATGCATGGAGGGACTCCCCTGCAGTGGGCAGCCAGATGCTGGGCTCGGACTGGGACTTGCCTCAAGAGGAAGAGTGTCCAGTCCTAGGACTGCAGGAAAGGGAGATGGGATCGGAGGGTTGGGGCAGCAGGAGGGTGCTGGGCTGAGTGTGCAGGACCTTCCAGACGGTTTGGTGGTGGCAGTGAGGAGCTGCAGGGCAGGGGTGGGATGTAGGACCATAATGGGAGGGCAGGGGAGACTTGCTGGTGCTGGGACATGTGCTGGATGCTCCCTTCTTTCCACAGCCAGAGATTCAGTGGACCAGGCTACGGCTGCTGGCTCCAGGCTGGCCTCTCCGGACCTGGGGCCCGGACGGCGGCTTCACCTTTTCCGCCAGCACCCAGGACATGCCCTTTACCACCTTCCACATGCGTATCCTCAGAGGAACCTCAGGAGCTTTCCCCCGGAGCCAGCTCATGGCAATCCCTTCTTCCACTCCCCAGAGCTTTCCCAGCTGGATTTTGGCACTATCCACTACATGCCCTACAGACCAGCCACCTCCCTGCTCACCTGTGGCCACCCGTCCCCGCTGGCCCTGGGCTTGCTGGGCCAGCAGCACCCCAGCCCCTCAGCCTGTGGGCAGATGCTGCCACCCCAGAGGACTTGTTCTCTCCAGCCCCAGCCTCCCTGCCTGGGGCTCAAGGCAGCCCAGGTGCAGAAGCAGCACCGGGGCCCTACACTGCGCCGGGGGCTCAGCCATGGGCACCAGCACAACAGCAGTGGCTCCGGGGAGAGTTATCTCACAGAGCACAGCGGGTACCTGGCAGATGGGCCGGGCAGTGACTCCAGCTCAGGGCCCTGCCACGGTTCCTCCAGTGACTCCATGTTGAACTGCACAGACGTCAGTCTGCAGGGCATCCACGGCAGCTGCTCCACGTTCCGCAGCTCCCTCAGCAGTGACTATGATCCCTTTGTCTACTGCAGCTCAGAGGGACCTGCCATGGACAATGGCCAGGAGCAGCCGTGGCTCCCAAGGGAGATGCGGCCCAGGTCCTTGGACCTGATGGTGCCTGGGGGTGCTGCTCTGGCCAAGCCCCAGGTGCTCAGCCACGTCCATTACCACCACCACCAGCACCATCACTACAGAAGAGACCCAGAGTGTCCACCCAGGCAGGCTGGGCAGGGGCCTGGGCAGCATAAATCCCGGTACTCTGGGGCCAAGGTTGGCTTCCATGGTTCTCGGACACAAAAGAGGACTGAGAAGAGCCATCATTGTCAGCAGCCTCTGGAAAGCAGTGCTGTGCTACAGGAGGCAGCTGCAGCCAGACACCTCGCCTGTTCCCAGCAAGGCCGGGAGCCCCCTTCTGCCCCCTCCACTTCTCCAAATTGGTTGGACTTCAGTGTAGATGCCAACAGACAATCTGGAGCAGCTGGCACATCCCCTGTCCTGCTGCCCTCAAGACACAGCTTACAGAGCCGTCATCACCGAAGGAAAAAAAAGTGTCCCCTGGAGCCTGACCCCACTCCCCTGCCTGAGGACTCATCCTTGCCCAAAGCCTGTGGTGCTCATGTTCCTCATGGCCACACTGCTGGCTACCGCTGCTCTCCCGAAGTCCAGCCCCTGATCCCAAGTGCTCCCCTCTCCTGTGACTCTGGTTCCCGGCCACTCTGGAAGTGTTTAGTGCCACAGTCTGGCCCCGAGCTGAAAAAGCAGGAGGAGGGGGTGTCAGGACTGGAGGGAAACCGCCCGGTTCCT